CCACGAAGAGTCCTGCCAACTGTGCAGCCGCAACCCTCCTCTGCCACTCGGGCTTTCTTTTCTTTGACGGTTACCCTGTTGCGGGGCGACTCAATGAAACTATCGCAGCGATACATAGCAAGTGCTACAGCTGAATCAGGCGCATTTTACCATCGCTCTCGCTGCAAATGGCCGTCGCCTCAACCACCAGTATACAGTCGACTACAGACACGATGGTAGTAATCACATTCTGCTTGTACAGTGACGTCGAAAAGAAATAGGGGGGTGGGGGGGGGGGGGGAGACTGCCCCCCGACAGGTAAGAAATTTAATGAAAAAGATATGGGGGAGGGGCGCAAAATTGCCCTTCCCCCCCCCCCTTCACAATCTGCTGAATGGTTCTGACGTCTCTGTGCTTGTACCCACCCATTTGTTCTGACAAAATTTTTTACTTCAGTTTCCTATTCGAAAGTTTCTTGCAATAGCCACAGTTTCAATAGATTGTTCATGGTGACTGTTGTGTGTAGAGTGGTGGCACCATCTGGGACACGGATCGCAATCCTAGAAGATTGCGCCACGCCGCGGCAAAAATGCGAAGCACGCAGTCAACGGCCAACGCCAGCAAGTGAACCTATCATGTCTTCATTACGTAGCCTTTGTATCTTGAGTCAATAAACAGTTCATGTTATCCGGTCATCATCTACTGGCCAGGATCTTCCATGTGGTGATGAGGATAAGATTGCATAGAGACTGCCGCACTCTACGGCCCCACATCGGAAAGTACAAGTGAGGCACAAGATTTGTGAACATGGCCCTTTGTTTGGGGACCCTCCTTGCACCCTCGACAAGAAATGGCGACCCTGGGACAGATAGAAGAATTCAACCCTGCGTTTCCGGGGAAGTGGGACGCCTACGAGGCAAGGTTGAACTTCCACCTCGAGGCAAACGATATCACCAACCCAACCAGAAAACATGCTGTTTTTCTTTTTAGCGTTTGCGGAGCTGCCACTTTTGACTTAGTACAGTCACTACTCGCGTTGGCAACTCCCAAAACGAAGACCTTCAGCCAATCGTCGGAGATTGTACGCCAGAATGCCTTTACCGGCGGAATCAAGGTCCCGAGAAGTCTGTGGCATTGTTCATTGTGGAACTACGGCGGTTGTCACAAAATTGCAACTTTCAAAATCTCACGGAAACACTGTGAGATCGACTCGTGTGTGACCTGAGGGATGAAACTCTTGAAGCTCGACTCTTCGCAAAAAAAAAAAAAAGCTCTCGTTCAAGATCGCTCAGGAAGAAGTGCTGGCAGCTGAAGCGGCGGCTCAAAGCACCCACAATGTGAGGGGAGGAGAACCAGCTGTGGCAACCGCCGTTGTTATACGTCAGGACTAAGAGGAAGGAGAAAACACGCTTAGGCAACCGACAAGGGAACAGTATACCAAGGGAAAACAAAGCCTTGCAATAGGTGCGGAGGAGCTCACGCACGGGAGTGTTGTCAATTTAAGGATGCCCAGTGTCACTTATGCAGAAAAATCGGCCGCATCGACTGTGTGTGTCGCATGAAACAATGAGCGCAGAGCGGGCCATGGGAACAAGAGGATCCAAAACCACGGCGAACGTTCTGAACTTGGACACACAATCTGATGATGTGTACGGTACTAACCAACTGGCCCCGCCACAGGCATCGCAGACACGTAAGCACCGGACGTCGGCAATAATGGAAGTTGACTCGGGGTCAGAGTTATCGATCATCCCAGAACAAACAAATGAGGTCATGAAGATGCTGTACCGGGTGAGCCATTTCAATCGCAAGTCAGATTTCCATTGCAATACGGTGAAGATCAAGGGGGTGTATAACGTCCATGTCAAGCACGGTAGTTTTGAAGGAGACCTGAAACTGTAATAGCACAGGGACAGTGGACAACCCTCCTTGGCAAGGACTGGTTTAAACCATTGGGAATCAGGCTGCTAGGGGTAAATAAGGTCACAGGGCTGTCTATTGAAGGTGTGCTTGCAAAGTATGATGGCGTTTTTGGGTAAAAGATTGGGAAGTTTGAGGGACCCCCAGTATGCTTCACGTTGACTTTAGAATGATGCCAATCCGCATGAAACCCTGGCAAATGCCCTTCGCACTCAAGCTTAAAATTGACGCTGAACATGATTGCCTTATTGAACAAGGCATTTTGGAGCCGGTCACGCAACCAAAGTGGGAGACCCCAATTGTGACGCCTATGAAGGCATCTGGCGACATCAGAATATGCGGCGCCTACAAGTGCACTTTCAACAAGGCACTGGCTCAACACCCGTACCCGATCCCCATAATACAGCACCTCCTGGCATCACTCTCGGGGGAGAGGCTGTTTGCAAAACTGGATTTGGCAGAAGCTTACCAGCAGCTGGTGGTTGATGAAGAAGCGGCGGAGGCACAAACAATCACAACCCCTCGAGGAGCATTTCGAGTAAAGCGGTTACGGTTTGGAGTAAATGTTGCTCTTGGGTTCTTTCAGAGCTTCATGGACAACCTCCTGAAAAGAATCACCGGGGTTGTGTCATAAATCGATAATGTTCTAATTGCTGCAAGCAAGAAAGAAGAGTTGTCAGGCCACCTCGAGGAAGTCCTGCACCGTCTTGCTGATGCTGGACTCAGGGTAAAAAGTGAAAAGTGCCATTGTGAAGTGTCGCAGCTCGAGTTCCTGGGATTTTTTATTGACGAGACGCGTGTGCACCCAACAAAAGAAAAGGTGAAGGCGATTCATGAGGCACCAGTACCAACAAGCAAACAGGAGCTACAGGCTTTCCTAAGACTACTAAACTTCTATCGCACTTGTCTACGAAAAAGGCAGCGGTGGCCGAGCCACTACGTCAGCTACTTGACAAAGAGGCACGGTGGGAGTGGACGCCTCTTCACGAACAAGTTTTCAACGAACGCAAGCAGCCGCTGTCCTCAGCAAGTGTGCTGCACCATTATGATAAAAAAAGCTCTTTGTGCTCACTTGTGATGCCTCGCCATAAGACATACATTAAAGCTGTACTTGGCAGTCGACCGGAAGATGACAAAGGGGTCCCCGTCGCATTTTACTCCCGCACATTGACATCTACTAAGCCAAACTGTGCTCAAATCAACAAAGAAGCCTTTGCAGTGCCGGCAAGCGTAAAGAAGTTCCATGACTACGCGTATTGCCTTCGAGATCATAACACCACAAACCACCTTTGGGACTTTTCACACCTGCAAAGCAAATGCCATACATCTTGTGTCCACGACTGTTGTGCGTTGGACGATCCTACAGAATGCTTATAACTACAGTTTGGATCATTGACCTGGGAAGGACATACAACAAGCTGATGCATTTAGTCGCCTCTCACTTACCGTTCCAGAGTTTGTGGTGCCACCTCCTCTGGAAGTTTTGTTTCTGGAGATCACATCCAATCCAACGCTCCACGCCAAGGACGTCGCACAAATGACTGCAAAGAACACCGTTTGAAGGGTTCACAACTGAGCTGTGAAGGGTTAGCTGCCAGGAGGCCTTGAGGCAAATTTCCAGCCATTCGAGGTTCGACAACATGAGCTGCCGGTTCACAAAGGATGTATACTTAGGGGGAACAGGGTCGTAATTCCCCCAGAAGGCAGGAAGGTGTTGCTGGAGGCCCTCCATGTCGGACATCCTGGCATCGTCCAAATGAAGGCTCTGGCTCGCACCTATGTGTGGTGGCCCAAAATGGACAGAAACATAGAAGAGCATGTGATCAAGTGCATGGCATGCCAAGAGTGTCGACCTGCACCTCCTCGTGCCTCAGTAGACGCATAGAATGCAACTCCAGCACCGTGGTCTCGGATGACGGGGCTCACTTCACCTCCGAAGAATTCCACACATTCTTGAGAGCCGGTCTCATCAGACACATCACGTCAGCACCCTTCCACCCGTCAACTAACGGACAAGCAGAGCGCATGGTGCACACAACGAAAGATTGGCTACAGCGTATTGTAAAAGGGAACATGACGGCAGCATCTGGCCAGTTTTCTGCTACAGCAGCATGTAACACCATGCATGATGACAGGCAAGAGCCCAGTGTATATGCTGATGAACAGGAGGTTGAAGACGATACTTGACCGACTGCACCCGGACCTGACTGAGAGCATGAGGAAGGGAGCTGATGAGAATTCCAGCGAAGGAGCCCAACCGAAGTCACGAATGTTTCGAACAGAACACCCAGTATTCATATGCAGCTACAGCAGTGGCCCTTCATGGATACTGGCGACAGTGGCTGAAATGACGGGTCCAGTTTCCTACAAAACCCACACCTAGGAGGGCATTATCATGCGACGTTCTGTTGACGAAGTGTGTAGGAGCGGTGCATTGAGAGTTGCAACAGACAGCATCAGCCACGGAGAGCGGCAAGCTGCTCGTCCTGAACCACCTGAGCACCCGGATACAGGCAGCGCAGTGCACACGTCGGTGATGGGCCCAGTGCAAGATGTGGATGAGGCCAGACAGAAGAGATCAGACGGGGCTCGAGCTCTTCGAGAAGGAGTTCACTTAGGGCGAAGGAGTGTTGTGTATTGAGTGGTGGTACCATCTGGAAACAGATGCCAAACCTAGAAGACCATGCCACACCGCGGGAACATTGCAAAGCATGCAGTCAACGGCCTACAGCAGCCAGCAAACTTGTCACGTCGTCATGTAGCCTAATAAATAGTTAATGTTATCTTGTCGTCATCTACCGGCCAGGATCTAACAGTGACTATACTTGAAGTGTACTGAAAACATTTTGTTGGTTACGGCCTCATTATTTCAAGCACAGTATGATCAGACCGTTTAAAAATTGTTGGCCCTGAGATATTCGTAGACAGCATGATTAGTACTTGTACCTAACTAATTCAAAAACAACCCTTACCTCTAACCTTTACTTTTTCTCCAGTTTTCTGTGAACCTGGTTGTATGCGCACTCCGCTGGCGTGTCTACCCAGCGGTAGGGCACGATCAATCACGGCCATCGTAGCCGATCGCCATCCGCGATGACGAGCCTGTTTGAAGTTCCTCCTCCGAAGTTGTCTCTGATACAGCTCTGCGATAGCGTGTGGAGATCATGGGTGCTTCCTTGCCACTTGGCGACCACCTCACGATCTGTGAACATATGCCGACCACCAAGAGGACTACCTACTTGTCCGGCGTTGGTTCCGAGGAGCTCCGCTGCTGGTGACCACCTTAAGTGAAAAAATATGTCTGAGATTCGTTCACGACAGACAATAAAAATGCTACAAATTCAAATACATATAGCCGCGCCATAACAATTCCTAGCGAAGGTTCATAAACCCTGCTATAACGAATTAAGCTACTCGCTATCTTCCAAAATTTTTTAGAACATGACGTCCGTCGGGAGTTGACGCTGACATTTTGAGAAACTGTTTGCTTTTCCGACTGTCTTAAAACACGAAACACATCATTTTACAAAGAAAGGATTGCCTCGGAACTGTACCTCGGCCAACTCCGTGATCTTCGGTGTCCTCGGGTTGAAAATCGTCTCAACAATAAAACTACGTACTACGTCTTGCTTTCCGTTCATTCTTGAATGGATGGCGCTGCATTTGTGTCAGGAACTGAACCGCAAAAATAAGTTATAATTATGCCAAACTTATTCAGATTTGCCTTTACGAAACAGTACAACTAAACAATGGTGTTATTGATATTATTTCTTACCTGAGCACTTGCATCGGGACATGGGTGACCAGTCAAGCTCACATGAAAACAAGCGATTACGAAACCACCAAACCGAAAACGAAACAGTCGTGGCAGGCTTTCCTGTCGAAGACGTCGATGGCGTAGAAACAGTCTAAACTCGCTTTAACGAAAGCATTTACCCGGTAAAAATGACTTGTAGCCGATGCGTAGTGGCTGTGGTAGCCACGTCGGACATTTTGTTTTCTTGTGTGGTCTCATCTTGAATGTCAGCTGAGACCCAGCGTAAGACGTCGGCTAAGCCGCTTGCTCGAAACGAAATCGGAACCGTCACAGCCAAAGCAGGACTTGAGTCTGGTACCTATAACGGAGTGAGCGGTGCCTCGAGAGGGAATCTAGGGAAAACGAAGAAAAAAAAAGAACAAAAAAACGAAGAATCCGGACGTGGATGTGACACGGGGTCGTCTGCTTCTGCTACGCCGCGGTCGTTTTGGGCAGCGACAAACGACGACAGTCTCATTACTACGTCGTGTTTTTCGTGCAAACCGTGGTTACACGTGAAAAGCGACAGCAAGCCGCGGTTCTGGACGCGTCTGTGACCACCATCGCCGACGTTGAGTGCGTACGCCGAATAAAGGTGTCCACAGAAATGTCCGTTCGTGCCGATGCATTTTCTAAGAAAAAAGAACAGCACAGTACAGAGCGCGACACTAATAGCGCGGACAAGCGATCGCCGGTTTTTCCAGCTTTTCTTTTTGAAACCGAGGGATGTCATTCAAGTTGTTATTGCTACGGAAAGAGCTCATTTCGCTCTATAATGTAAGCGATAAAATTTCGTGCTCGCTACTACTATTTAAAAGTAAAATTAAAAAAAATGCTCCGATGTTGTGTTCGCACTAACAGTGTCGCGATGTGTACGTCCCTTCAAAGGTAAAGACGAATGTAATTTGGTGCGAAGATAAAAAAAGTATCAATCGGTGTACGAAATGCAGAAACAAAAACGCTTAATTCGAGAGAAATTTAACAAGATTACAAAAGTTGCTAAAAAGAAAGCACGGCATCCGTTCCATAGAGATCACACATACCATCCGTACTGAACTCGCGGTACCAACTGATGCTACGCACGAGACAAAAAGTGAAAAAAAGAAGTTGCACAACGTAAAATTTTTTAGCTGCAGAGTTGACGCTTTCCACAAGGGCGAGTTTAATATACATTTGTCTTTACTGCACATAAAAATGAAGCACAGGTTCTATGTGCTCAATCTATTTTTTCCCTTCTTATTTTCCTGGCTGAATTATAGTAGTAGTCAAGAGCTCTGGATTTTAACATTTTTATACGATCAAGAACACCTTTTATGAGCTGAAGGAATTTTGTTCACTTCTAATTTTCCTGGCTAAATCATAGAAGTTGTCAAGAGTTCTGGATTGAAAACTTTTATTACAAACAAATCAAAACAATGAAAGCACTTGCTGGAATCAGACACAATCCAATAACCCAAGAAAATATAAAAAGAGCCGTCTTTCACAGGCACAGGACCAGTGAGCTGTCATGTTACTGCTGTTTCTACAAATATTTAGAATGCAGTATGTGCCATTTGATGCAGACAAGTCTAGCCTTTTGAGGTTGATATGATTGGGGGTTCTACTAACAAAGCTAACATTGATTTCATAACTGTATCTTGTGTACGCAAATACTAGATATTGGGCCCACTCTAGGAAACATTCCAGCAAGTTCTCTCCAAAGCAAGAAGGATCTGTGCACATTCAAGAACACTGAAACTTTGAGCCATGTCATTTCAGTTAAAAGTTAAGGTCGGTATTCCAATGAAAGGGCACTGCACTTATCGATAGCAGAATTAATCTTGTACACTGCTCAAATGCTAGAAGGTACATTTTAAAAAGAAGTAAGGCAATGCAAACAATACAAAGGTTATTGTATTTCCATTGCACCATCACCACAAAATACACAGGCTAGAAGCTTATGAGGTAAAGCCAAAACATGGCAAGCAGTAACATGAATTTGATGTTTTATGCCGAAAAATGTACATCTCCGTAGGTCCAAAGGCAACGAACACAACACTGGAACCTCATTTCCTTTGGGACCCATTTTCTTTGGGTCCACTGTACTGAGATGCCAAGTCAAACGAATGCACACACAAAGCTGAAAGTCTGTTACATAAATATGTATGTGCAAGTGCTTTTATATCTAGCTCATTTTACAGGTAGTACTCACTCGCGGCCATAGCTGAGCTCGCAGCTGCGGAGCACATGTACTGCGGCAAGCTTCCACAACACCTGCAAGATGCACATTGCCCACATGAAGAATGTCTTTTAGAGTGCAGCTCTTAGGCGCCCATCTCCGGAGTGAGCGGCGTCAGTGTTGGCGTAACTGTGTGTTACACTGGGACGTTTCCCATAATGGCATCACATGTTACGTCACTAGGGTCACGAGTGACGTCACAAAGGTCACTCGTGAAGGTCACAAGGGAGGAGGGAGGGAAGGGGTGGGGGGAGGATGGAGGGGAGGGTACAGAGGAGGAGGAGGGGCATACCTGTTGGTAGTGTAATGGACCGTTATCAGATGGCGCCACGAATCCAGCGCTAAGGTCGCGCAGCCGTTACCCTATTGTTTGTATTTTTCCCCCTCTCTTCCCGCTTGATAAACATGATGGCAGCTTGACAGCTGTATGTCGTTTCTTCATACCAAATCCAGTCGATCCGCGTCCCAGAAATGTGGTATAAACAAACAAGAGCCTCCTCTCCGTACCCTCCTAAGAGCTGCATTCTTATTCGGCATTACAGGGAATTGTAAACGTCTCATTTTTCAACACAATTATTAAGAAGTCATCCTGTGCTTGCACATATTGAGCAGTAAGCTAGTACCATCTATTAAGCACCGACCGGCATACACTCACTAAATTTGTTATCACCCGAGCACACCTGCTACTTAGCATGGTATTATTTTAATCGCTGGAAAGAAGCACAGGGACAAGCAAAGGAAATCGGGTGGCCTGCATCAACACTGCACACTGGCCCAAATCGAAGCAAGCTATTTTCACAAAAATTAGATGCAACAGCTAACATTGCGCTTGACGTGCACACCGTAGACTGGCTCTACTCGAGCCCAGCTACTTTCACAACTAATAGCCGCAACAGCTACGATCGTGCTTGATATGCACACTGCAGACTGGTTCTACACGAACCCATCTACTTTAAGAAATAATAGTTGCAACAGCTACAATTGAGTTCGATTTTTACACCATAGACTGGTTCTGCTAAAGCCTAGCTACTTTCAAAACTAATAGCCACAACGATTGAGAGCTGAGGGATCGAGCTTGATTCACATGCACACAAAACGATTTCCTGAGACAGAAATAAGAGTGCGCTCGAACTATGTACAGTGGTGACATTAAAAACATTCTTCAAACCCTGAAAAACATTCAGGGTTAGCAAAGCACCAGTCAATGGGCGGCCAGCAACTAACATGGTTGGCCCGGAAGGTTGGGTCTTCGGCCACAAGGTCTTTGTGGCCCCCGGGGTCATTTTCCTCAAGATGCCGAAGTCCGGGGAACGAATGATTACCAGCCTTTGGAGTGGCAGCTGGACGAGGATTAGGCGCCCCTTCAGCCTGAGGCAGCACTGCTGCCGTTGGAAAGGCGACCACCACCACCAGGCCTACGCTGACCGGGACCGTGTTGTCCACAATCCGTTTGGAGGCCCAGCATACCACCTGCAGGCTGCAGACAGGCAGTATTATAAATACCTGTTTGCGCAACAGGCGGAAAACATACCACTCAACTGAAAATGTGCCCTTCCGTGGCTAAATGCAGCCCTCGAGGAGCTCAGAACGGCACAGGCGCAGTGCACAAAGCAACAAGGAAGACGCAGACTGCGGCTATTTTTTATAGAGAACAGTGCAAAAAAGTCTTTGCCCTGCTTGGGCACGCTGCTCAACAAGAAGGCCTATAAAAATAGGGGGGAGGGGGAAGGGGGGATTCTAAACATATTAAAATTTTTTTTTCTGTTTAGTCTTCTTTAATGTCCCCACCTTTAGTTTCTAGCGTGCACAAAACTTTCACTTCATTATTTTGTTTGGCAGCAGGCAAAACTAGAGAAATTATGGCTTCATAAAAAGGTTGCAACAACTTTTAGACACTCAGCCAATTAAAAGCGAATCTCAAAACCACAAAAACGCCTGCCACGGCCGCACCTCAAGAAAAAGGTTTGCCTTCCGCACCACCGCATTTGTACAGGCTTTTTGAGACTTCACCGCCGAGTGGCACGCAGGCAGCGTCAATGCGTTTAGTATTTGTGTCGTGCCAAGGAATGCCGTGAAGTTCAACGCCGTTAAGTTCACCGGCACTGCAGTTTTGAGGTTATTGATATAACTCTTCTGGTGCTGGAAAATCATAGCGTCTGCACAATACACCAAAATGGGAACATGCACAAGCTACAGCACAAAACGAAATCCTATTTGGATCGCATTCAATTACTGTTGGCTCTAGGTAGAGTCAGTGGCGTACCACAGCTCGGAAATTGTATAGCAAAAACTCGCGATGCAGAACCCAGGGACCCTCGGCTCAAAGCTTGTAGCTCAATCCACACCCCTGCCCATTGCACAAGAGAAAGACGCCATGTTTGTTCAACAGGAAACTAAACTCTGTCTCACCGTCACTTGGCAAAGAGCAAGTGCTAAGGTCCCCTCCATTCAATCATTGACAGAGAGAAAGCGTAACTCAAGCAGTTGAAGAAGTAGGAAAGGAGGAACTTGGAAGTTGCTTTCTCTCCCCTGAAACTTAACCTGTAACTCAAAATTTTC